ATATTTGTAAGATACTTTTTCCCTTCTTACCGCTTGCCTTCATGATGTAATTGGAAGCACATTCCACTAGCAACCAGTTTTGGAGTTTGAATCCCAGCGAAAGCATTTTACACTTTTTACTTCTCCCGCCTCTAAAAAATTAAAATATGGCTGTACAGTGCATAAATTAAGATGTGGTGATGATACTTCATCACCACCAGGATTTGGTGCCTAGATCCAAAATCCCGTCTGCCTTCATGGTATAATTAGAAGCCTATCTAGCTAATAACTGGAAGGTCCAGAGTTTGAATCCCAGAGAAAGCACTGCACTTTTTTTAGATTTCCTGCTCTGAAACGGACCTAATGAATCCATATATTGAATAAAACTAAATACAAATATTTACCGATTAAATATTTGGTTGGATCATCATATAAATCCTTTAAGTATGTACAATGGATTAAGACAATTCAGATCAAATAAAATTTTAAAAGAAAAATTATGCTGAAGTTCACTAGGGATAGGAGAATGAAATTTTCAGAATTTAAGCTTCCTTAATTTAATAATAAAATTTAAACTGTGCAAATATATTTCACAAGACACTCTGTTAAACTACATGCTATAACTTTATTACGTACAAAAGACCTCATCACTTGCACACACACCTACCTTACAACTACTTGCATTCCAGTCTTAATTCTGGTTTACAACTAACTACTTCATGCACTTGCGATGCTTGGCATAGTGCCAACTGTAAGTTTGATTATGATTAAGTTCTCGATACACCACATCCCTCCCCCTTTATCACAATTGCAGTCTATCTGGGGAACGTCAAATTCTACTGGATTGATGCAAAGGTTGTGGCACAGCTGAATTCTCTGGTAATCTGGTTACTTCAGCAGCAGGTCTGGTGGATGGAACATCTGGTACAACCTTAGGCTGGGAAGATGACACACATGCATTTACCTGGTGACTATTATCATTAGATGGTTTTGGAACTCTACTCTTAGCAGGCTCTTTGGAAATCATGAGACCTGGACAGTGGACATATGAATCCCTCATCTGTTATGGTTGCTCTATCACGCATTTGATCGATATGCCGTCACCATAGCTGACCATCTACATTTGTAGTGCAATGAAGTTGCCCATCCTTGAATTGGACGGATACAAATCTCCATCGTCTGTCTCGTTGGCGATAATTTCTTACTGCCACTTTATTGCCAACTCTAAGTCCTTGGCTTGCAAACTCATAGGTTCCTTTTTGAACAGTCTTTCACCCTCCTTTTAAGTCTTTCACCCTCCTTTTAAGATCTGGTCTCCATAAATATATTCTTGTTCGAATTTCCCTCTTCAGTATTAGCATCGCAGGGCTCTGTAGAGCAGTTAAATTTGGAGCTTTCCTATATTGCATCAAAAATGTACTACTGAGTTTTTGTCTCAAAGATCCTGGATAATTCTGCATTGTTCTTAAGATTGTTTTTCTGTAAACATATACCGTTCAGCCTTCCCATTACTAGATGGTTTAAATAGTGCTGTAGTTTTGTGTTTTATTTCGTTACTCTGTATAAATATCTTAAACTCATGTGAAGTCAATTGTGACCCGTTATGACTCACTAACAATACTGGTAATCCGAATCACGTAAGAAAGTCTGTAACATTCTTTGAGAGTCGAGCTTGATTTCATTAGATAGGTTTCTAGCCATTTTGAGTGAGGATCAACGATTATCAAAAACATATGCTAAAAAATATGTCCTGCATAATCGATGTGAATACATTTTATTGGAATGCTTCGGCACTCCCAATGATGAAATTTTACCTTAGAAGACTCCATATGTTTTGCACATTCAGAACAGTTTTTAGCAGTATTTTTGATGTCTTTATCTATACCATTCCACGTAAGATCTAGCAATTGCTTTCATCTTTACAGTCTTTAAATGTCCCCGATGCAACTCTTTCAAAACATTCTCACGGTATCATTTTGGAATACAAAGGCATTGACCATACATTATACAGCCATCTTGGAGACTATACTCCATCTACCTTCCTTTCAACTCACCGCCCCTTTGAAGTATTCGTATCAGAGAGCTGAGTTCTGCATCAATTTCAGTTCCTTTATCCAAATCTGTGGCTGTGATTGGAAGAATTTTGATCTGTTGTAATTGAAAAATAGTTACATCATCCTGAACAGACAGTTGCACTGGTTCGTCGGTAATCGTGATAGAAAGTCAGCACTACCGTGCTCGTTTGTTTTACAGTAAATAATGTCAAAGAGGAATGACTTAAAAAAAAAGCCAAAGCGTAATGCAGGAGTCTTGTTGCTGCCAAAACTGGCATGCCTTTCTATGAAATGAAAATTACAACAAGAGGTTTAATGTAAATTTCCTGCCTTTCAAGTACAGAAAAAATTTTTTAGTTCCCCAAATAATTGACAAAGTTTCTTTATCGGTTTGAGAATATTTTTTTTTCCATTTCAGTCAGTTTTCTAGAAGCATATGCAATTGGCTTTTCTATTCCATTAGGAACTTTGTGAGAAAGTACTGCACCTAACCCCACTGGTGATGCATCAGTTGCTGATGTTAAAGGCAATTTTGGATCGTAATGCATCAAAACTTTTTGTGAACACAATTATTTTTTAATATTAGAAAAGCCTACTGACAGTTCTTCGTCTAAACCCATTTTGAGTTTTTCTTAGTTAGGTGGTATAAGGGAAGTCCCGTAAACATTCTTTGAGAGTCGAGCTTGATTTCATTAGATAGGTTTCTAGCCATTTTGAGTGAGCATCAATGATTATCAAAAACATATGCTAAAAAATATGTCCTGCATAATCGATGTGAATACATTCCATTGGAGTGCTTCGGCACTCCCAATGATGAAATTTTACCTTAGGAGAATCTATATTATGTTTTGCACATTCAGAACAGTTTTTAGTAGTATTTTTGATATCTTTATCTATACCATTCCACGTAAGATCTAGTAATTGCTTTCATCTTTACAGTCTTTAAATGTCCCCGATGCAACTCTTTCAAAACATTCTCACGGTATCATTTTGGAATACAAAGGCATTGACCATACATTATACAGCCATCTTGGAGACTATACTCCATCTACCTTCCTTTCAACTCACCACCCCTTTGAAGTATTCGTATCAGAGAGCTGAGTTCTGCATCAATTTCAGTTCCTTTATCCAAATCTGTGGCTGTGATTGGAAGAGTTTCGATCTGTTGTAATTGAAAAATAGTTACATCATCCTGAACAGACAGTTGCACTGGTTCGTCGGTAATCGTCATAGAAAGTCAGCACTACCGTGCTCGTTTGTTTTATGGCAAATAATGTCGAAGCGGAATGACTTTAAAGCCAAAGCATAATGCAGGAGTCTTGTTGCTGCCAAAACTGGCAAGCCTTTCTATGAAATGAAAATTACAATAAGAGGTTTATGATCTGTAATTAATGTAAATTTCCTGCCTTTAAGTACAGAAAAAATTTTTTAGTTCCCCAAATAATTGACAAAGTTTCTTTATCGGTTTGAGAATCTTTTTTTTTTTTCCATTTCAGTCAGTGTTCTAGAAGCATATGCAATTGGCTTTTCTATTCCATTAGGAACTTTGTGAGAAAGTACTGCACCTAACCCTACTGGTGATGCATCAGTTGCCGATGTTAAAGGCAATTTTGGATCATAATGCATAAAAACTTTTTGTGAACACAATTATTTTTTAATATTTAGAAAAGCCTACTGCAGTTCTTCGTCTAAACCCATTTTGAGTTTTTCTTAGTTAGGTGGTATAAGGGGTTTGCGATGTCGCTAATTTAGGGCAAAAATGCTTCATAAAAATTAACCAATCCCAAAAAACTTTGAATTTTCTGAGCATTTCTGGGTTTTGGGGCTTTTGCAATCGCTGATATTTTTGTGTCAGTTTTATATAAACCATTAGCATGATTTTTATGACAAAAATTGTATCTCATCCTGAAAAAAATTACTTTTCTCTAAATTTAATTTCAGTCCGTTAAGTTTTACATTTCTTGTAGAAATTTTTTAAAGTATTTAAATGTGCCTCCTCATCAGACTCTGTTATTTGTGCATCATCCATGAAGGCTTTATACACTTCTATTCCTTGGAAAAGTCCGCCTATGTAACGTTGCCAGCGTTGCATTTAGCCCGAACATTAATTTCCTACACTTATATAATCTTTTCTGTGTGTTTATTGTTAGCAAGTTTTGAGTCTCAGAGTGTACTTTCATGTGCAAATAAGCATGTTTAAAATCAATTTTTGAAAAATGCTTTCCCCCGCTCAAACATGAAAATATTTCCTCAATGGTCGGCAAAGGGTGTTAATGCGTAACAATATTTGGGTTTACTGTCACCGAGTAGTCGGCACAAAGTCGTATAGAGCCGTCCGGCTTAACTACTGGTAATACCGGAGTTGCATATTCTGATGTTTCAACCTTTTCAATTATCCACTCTTTTTCCAAGTGATCAATTTCTTCATCTATCAGGCCTTTTAATACAAATGGTACTTGCTTAGCTCTACAAAATTTTGGTAAAACATTTGGTTTCAATTTAAGTTGAACCTCATAATTTTTAATCTCTCCTAATTTTCTGTCAAAAATCTCTTTATATTGTTCCAATAATTTATTTAAACTACTCTTTTGAGAGACAGAAATTGATTTAATTGAGGTCCAATCTAATTTTATCTCTGAAAGCCATTCTAGACCAAATATTGTATCCAGGTTTTCTTAAACAATGTAAAAGATTTAAGTTTTTCCCACTTATATGTTTTAAATACCTTAAATAAAATAAAAAAAGACTTGCATTTTGAATTTTATTTTACAAAATTTGTCGGAAATTTTTTAAACTCATTACCGATACCACTTGTTTTATGAAAAATTTTGTATATCTAAATAAATTTCGAATCTCTCTAAAAAAGAATCAAACTGTTCTTCGAGTTCATTATATTTTTCAAACTGAACCGAAACTTTCAAATTGTCCATTTGTGGAGTAATAACTGAAGTAAATCTCTCCATTAGAGCTCTATTCTGCTCTAATAACTCAGTTATAAGCTGCTCTATGCTGAATCCTCCGAAAGAAAAATGATTATAAAAGTTTCACGTTGAGCAGTCTTTGGGGAATTCTCTAATCCTCGAGTTATTCCAATAGCATTGAAACATGTCGCGAAGGCACTTTTCTTATTTCCAAAAATCCAACATCCATCATCGCCAGATGTTGTACATCCTTAGTAGGTAATTATTTCACAAGACACTCTGTTAAACTACATGTTACTTTATTATGTACAAAAGACCTCATCACTCGAATACACATATATCTTACAATTACTTGCATTCCAGTCTTAGTTCTGGTTTACAACTACTTCATGCGCTTGCGATGCTTGGCGCAGTGCCAGCTTTAAGTTTTTATTATGATTAAGTTGTACACCATGATACACCATGTGATACATACACCTGTGAAATTAAATTTAACAGTTTAAAAAAAGTATTAATTTTAAAACTTCATACATACAAAATATATGCAATGACTCCAATAGACCATACGTCTACAGCTTTGCCATAAGGTTTCTGAGCTAAAACTTCAGGAGCTGGAGGAAATAGATAGGAGGAAATTAAAAGCATTACACAGATAAATAAAAGATATGCATGTATTAAAAAATTAACAATACAAAAGGTCTAAAAAATGCAACATGTGGAAATTTAACAGTTGTATGTTTATATATCAGCGACACAATGAAAATAAGTATTTTTTAAAAATTGTAGTATTTTTTTATAGGCACATAAAGAGCACAACTCTTAACATCATACAGAAAAGAAATAAGAATTATGGTTATCACACATATCATATGAAAATACATTTGTTCAGTTTTATTTTCTTTTTGGAGGGAAGGGGAAGGAAGTACTCAGTCACGTTATTTCAGTTAATTATATGTTGTTCTCAATAATTAAGATAATTTTAGTAGCTTTATTATCAATTTAATATACTATACTTAAGTATTACAGCAAAATCGATATTTTTAATTTGTCACAATTTTCTCTCTTCTTGTCTATACATCAGAGTATCTATTATGTTTGTGTGAAATACTGAAAACATCAAACATATAAAAATGAAAAAGTAAAAACTTTAGTACTCTGATTACTGAAAGCAAAAAATTTTTACTTTTAGTCACATTTTACTTTAGAATTGAAATATTTAGATGATGGTGAAGCAGGCAAGGGCTATCAGTCTTTTTACTATTATTTATGCATGCTTTGAGTCAAAAGGGAACATTTATTTCTTCAATGAAGTGTGAAGTAAGAAAATGTTTAGAAATATTTATTAAATAAAAGACTGCAACAGACAAACTCCGTTCCTCAAATATAGTAAAATATTATTTTTATTGAAAGAAAACACATAACTTTCAAATAAAGAAAGGAAGAGCAAGAAAATTCAATTATGACAGTTTTAGGTTTCCTTGATTAAACAGTCTTACAACACAAATAAGCAACCAGCTGAAAAGTTAACATACAGGATCATTATAATCAAAGTTTCATTTTCAAAAGCCTGTTAAAAATAGAAAAAAAAATAAGAATGATCTGAATATACATGAAGCAATGGCAATTTGTCTGGCAAAACAAAGAAAATAGTTCTAAATTTTATCAATGTATGGTGATACACCTGTCATTACATGCTAATTAAAAGACGTTACATGCATACCTAATAACAGAATAAAAACATGGAGTATGTGCCCATTATTCTGCATCTGAGAAGCTCATCATGACCCAGTTAATGAAGGATCGAGCTCAGCTTGTGAAGCTTTTATTCAAGAATGGTGATTAAGCTTCAAGTTCCCCAAAGACATTCTGAATATTAATGGGTATACGATGCAGTTTTAGTCCAACATCTACAATTTTAAGTATAGACACAGCCTTAGAGATGAAAATGAGTTTCATCTGTTCACAAAATGTTTCACAGCCCCACACTGTCCATTTTCACCCAAACAAGAAATTATAGGGCAAATGTTTGACATATTTGCAATGCACAATTTTGAATGGCTAGGATTTCAGGATGTTTCATAAAATTTTACAAACCATGCTGATAGGTATGTCTAATGATTAAACAATTCCCCATGCACTGCACATTCCCACATCACTTCTGGTCTCTTCTTGCCAATGCTATAGCCACCTCTTCCACTGATGTCAAAGCAACTGCTTTCCTCCCTGTGCCAGATCTGGTAAAATGAAAAAGTATCTTCGAATTTATAAATCACCTTCCACAGACCCTTGATAGACATCGGATTAGAGCCAAGTTTTATACCCATTAATGTCTAAACTTCTTCAGAGCAGTTACAGGACAGTCACCGTTCCTGTAAAAAGTTTAACAAGCAGAGTTCTTCCAGAATCATAAACAGCTTCTCAGATGCAGAATAATCAGAAATTCACATACTCTGTGTTTTTATTATGTCTAACATAAAATGTACATGTCACATCTCTTAATTAGCACATTATTACAACTACAGCGCCATGCTTTGATAAAATTTTGATTTTTTTCATTTCATCACACAACTTTGCATAGCTTCATGTATATTCAGGTCATAGTGACTGCTTTTTTTTTTTTTTTTTTACAGCCTTTTCAAACTGGAATTTTAATTATAAGCAACCTGTATATGTTCTAGGGGGGAGGGAAACTCACTTTACCAAGGAGCTATGAAGGGAAATTTTCTGAAAAATTAGCATGCCCAGCTGCCTAAAATAGTTATTATTAAAATGGAAAACTGTATATCAATTTTAATGAGTCCAGGTAGTGTTAAGTTCAGAAAAATAATTAATATTTAATTAGACATTTTGCAATTAAAATGCATTTTTATTTAAATTAATCAAAAATCAGAAAATATATTCTTAAGAATATGTGTTTAATGCCTTTAAATCACTTGGTTTGTTTAATCAATAAAAGATTAAACTTGAATGTTAAAAATGTAGCATCAATAGGTATTTTTGAAAGCAGGAGAGATGAAAAATGAGAAACGGCTTTGTCGGGACCACGAACCTCTAACCACGGACCTCTGGAATATCGAACCACAGACCTCTGGAATATGTGCCCAGTGTGCTGACCACTACACTATGAAGGAATGCTAAGACAGCAAGAGAAATACCTTAAATACTCCCCCTTTTTAAATGGTGGCTGGAGTTTAGGGGACTCAATTGCCAAATCCTGGGTGTGGAGAATCATCATCCACCACCCTGTCCCTGTTTGGGCACCAATGTAGAGTCATTAGGTATTTTTGAAAGCAGGAGAGATGAAAAATGAGCAATGCCTTCGCTGGAAATCGAACCACAGACCTCTGGAATATGCGCCCAGCATACAGGATCATATGTTACGAACGCATGCTGAGAAGGCAGGAGAAATACCTTAATTAAATATTTTACACTTTACTGAATGGCAACATGCTAGAGAATGGGAGATAAAAAAAATTTACTTCAGAGAGTGCTACAATTAGCATTTAAATAGTTTATTGGTTAAAACAAAGCTTAAATAGTTTATTTTTTAACATGCTGAAGATAAACATGTTTTATTCTCAACAGTGCTGTCACTTTTTGCTTTCAAGTCACTGAGTTTGTAAATCAAAAATTCTTACATTGGCACAAAAAATGAAATAAATCAAAAATTCTTACATTGGCACAAAAAATGAAATAAATCAAAAACAAATTCAAAATTTTGGCTTCAAGGCACACATACTTGAGTGGAGGACTGTGTGTGTTTAAAATTTAATGGCTCTAGGTGCTGCCAGTTTTCTGCAATGTGAGGAGTATACAGATTGTTCACTATAGTCCCGTTTACAAGAGCAGATTTAACCAGCAGCAAAAACCAGTTCTTCCAACACGTCCCATTCACACGGCGAACAAGCATTAACTGTCCCTCAGAATTGGAGGCAGAACTTGGTTGAATGTTCCTACCTCTCCGGAGCAGGGCAAATAGAGAGATTTCCCATACTGCATTGTGCCGTTCACTTAATTTTAGCAAACAACATGGCTGACATCCAACTGATAGCTCGCTGGACTTTCAGAGAAACAGTCGCTTTAATAGATATCTAGAAATGCGATGTCATCAAAACAATAGATGGAACCGTACGAAACTCAGAAATATGTAAATAAGTACAGACAAGGTTGTCTGATGCTCGGTATTCCAGAATTACTGTTCATATTGAAACTAAACACTCACATATCGGCTTCAACGCGACCAGGGGACTCGGTACCATTTGAATGATTTTTTTTTTTTCATTTAAGAAGTTTCATCTACTTTTTATGAATATTATTAAATGGTTTCGTAACACAAAATGATTTTAAGCTGAAAAAGCTTTTTTTGCCAGTAATTTTTTTTTAATTAAAATTTTTGGAAGAAATGTATAATAATTAAAATGTTTTAGAATTTTCAATGTTTTTCCTCCAGTTTTTCTTATTGTATTTATTATAGTGTTCTTAATATCCTTATGGGTCGATTTTGAAATTAATGAATTAGTTTTTAGGAAAAATTAAAAACATGTTTTTATGTAAAAACTTTGAAGCAAATATGATCTCAACCACATTTTCACTTTAAATAATTTTTTTCAGTACTTTGCAAAACTCATTCTTGTATCTATAAAGTATATAATTTTAGATAAGCACTAAAAATATTAAATAATTTAATCCATATCAATATAAGTTTTAGGACCTTAAGTAAAAGGATTTATCGAAAAAATGCAAACTAAGAAAACACAGTTTAAAGAATATAAACTGTCTAAATGGTCATAAAATCATTTCAAATGTCTTAAAAATTTTATTACTGAATTTCAGTACATATATATATATAAAATAAAGCTTAGTGCTATTGAACTGGTTAATATAAAACATAAATTACAAGTTTCTATTTAATATCTTTGTAAAGCACGTTTAAAATAATTTTAATATATGAACTAATTATAAAAATATATTTTCTAAAACATTTATTAAAATTAATAATAATACTTTGTCATTTTATTCATTTTTTCAAAAAGCAAAGTTTGAAATTTTAAGAGCCACAAAACATTTTATTTAAAACCATTCAGCAGCATAGGTGATTTATTTTATTCTTTTAACCATTTGATCTTGAACATAAATTGAATTTTAAATTAATTTAGGTGTATTTTCATTAATTAAAGAGTTAATGGCGCTTCGATGGCTTCTATAGAAATAGTAAACAACGTCAAAAAAAGATGTAAGCAAATGTTAGAAATCCGCCAATCCATTTGGCGTTTGTGACATCATTGCTCGCAGTGGCTTATGGGTTAAGGGATGGAAGAAGATGTGCATCTGAACTGGTCCTGAAGGCGAAACTGTTTCATATCCCCGTTTCTCTCTAATACAAACGGTAGCTGCTTGAAAGAGCATTGCATGTGAACGGGGCTTAGTAAAGAAGTTCAGACAAAAAAACCAATAATATGCAAACTTAATTTTAATGATGAGTATACATTATGCTAGAAAGCAAAGACTGCATAGTCAAATAATGAATGAAAGCACTCTAAACAGATAAATCTAAAACTGAAATAGTTGAAGAAAAAAGAAATTATATTAACACAATGATCGAATAGAAGGTATAAAATGCATAGACCCTGCTATGAAGCTCTTATTGTTCACGGCTTCAATTTGGCAGGCTGAAATGTCACTTTCCACTTCTGCCTGGAATACAAAGACTCTTCAGTAAATATTTAGTCAAAGTATGGTGAACTAATTGCATCACCCTTTAAAAACATAAAAACAAAAATATCCAGAACAGGTAGTCTTACTTGATTTTTGAAAATTTGTTAAATGTTGTCAGTTAGTAATACTTATTACAAGTGAAAATATAGAACATCATTCATTGACTGAGTTCTTGACAAAACAAGGCATAACATCCAATAGATATTCATGAAAGTGAGGTTGCAATCTAAGCTGATATGCACATTTTATGCTATGTTTAGACAATATCACTTGAAGTTAATCCCAGATCAGTTCACAATATGGATGTGATCATTAAAGAAATATGTCTAAAAGTCCAGGAATACCACACAAAAAATAAAGAAATGACAGTTTGTTATATCATCATAGAAATGGGCATTTTTATTGGATTAGTGAGCAAAATCTAACATGAAAACCTGCTGCTGTTGAAAGTAAGAACCATATAGGTAGCATAAATGTTGATCACAGATCTGAAGAACAGGTTAAAAATTCTCAAGAACTCTTCATTACAAATGGGCAACAGAATCTTTTATTCAGAGCTAATCACAAGAAATGAAGAATGCTTTTGCGATTGAAACTCAGAAATTAAATAATAGAGAATGGTGCAGAAAAAAAATGGTTCTCCTTGAACATGAGTTCAAAATCCAGAAAACTCTAAGGAGGGTTTGGGCATCATTATTTGGTGAGAAAAATTACTTCTTACTGATTTTATAATATATAATACCGAGGTAACAATTATTTATTATTTTTACTTCTTTACTCAAAACTAAAAGTCACAAAAGTGTTTATTTTGCTCAATGTTTCAAACACATACAACTCAGATTTCACACACTGCTATTCAGCAATGCAAATTTCTCTCCTTTACACCATTATCACTACAGCAGCCTTAAATTACAACTACTCATTTAAAAAACGGAAGCAGCATTCACATGTTTCACGTTACAGTGATGAAAATGACTTAAAAAACCCCATTCAAGAATGGTTTAACCCTTTATGGTACGCTACCTTTTAAAGTTGGAACTTCGATTTAAAAAAAAAAAAAAAAAAGGTAGGCAGTCTAATTAGGCCTAGAATAGTGCACAAGTAAAATTTTGTGAAGATAGCACTTATCGTTTTAATTCAGTGGGTGTGGCCGAAGCAGGCACACTGATTGAATACAGCTTCTAAAAGAGTGCTGAAACCAGCATTGCTGGGAAGTGCATAAAAGAGTAAGAGATTTTGCCTATGATTAAAAAACACTAGATTCTGAATACCGTAGCATATTTAGCATTACCAAGGTTGTGCCACGGGAAGACCTGCTACTCTACACCCCCTAAAAAGCTCTTTTTTGGTTATATGATGATTACATGCATATGCATGGAAAAAAAAGGTAACTTGGTTATATGATATTTATATTATTCATATTTACACTTTAGTCTATTTTTTTCCATGGTGGTACTTTTCAAAGAAAGTGACACCACCTTTAAAAAACCACAACCCAATATTGCATGTTTCGCACAGTTAGGATTCCGTATCAGATTCAATCTGATTCACTGAAATTGAGTCAGTAATATTTGTTGTGTTTTTCAGTGCTTCAGACTTCAGGGTCCCTTAATGTCTCTAAAATTTGGGAAATAATTAAAATTTAAAAAAAAATATAAACTATAAATTTATAAACTATAAAATAAAATTAAATAAACGTCTACAACCAAAACTATTAAACATAGCCCTAGCGAAACTTTGAAAGAAAGCGAAAGAGAAAAAGAGAACTGCTCTAGTGGAAAAACAAACAGCTAACTGATAAAATTACCATTAACCTTCAGAAAATCACCCCAACAATTTGTTAGTTGATAACCAAACATCCCCTCAAAAAAAAAAAAAGGAAGAAAAGTGAAAAACAGGAAATGAAACACAGATGTGGACCCACCTTTCTGTTGTCAATGAACTGACTGATGAAATGCGGAAAAACAAAGAATACAGACTCTCAGTTGTCCTAGATTATCGGAGGTTTACCATTCGATTTTAGGCAAGATTTCAAGGTAAAAATTTAAAACTAATATAGAATAAGGAGATTAGCATAGAGCCAACAAAATAACATAGAAATTTCTTTTCAAACAATTCCTTTTATACCCTAAAAAAATCTGGATGATTTCCTTGAAAAATGAGGCTCTTAAAAAACTAATTATGGCTAAAATATATGGACTGGTTTGTGATGAACTCGCATCTACTATAAATAAAGAAGATTCAGAGTAACCTACAGTAACATATAAATCCTTTTTCATTCAATTTTTCTGTGCATACAGAAGGAAATTTTTAGGTGTGCCCAGACCGGGCGCACTATGCCGCAAAGGGTTAAGGGCTGTCATAATTTTTTCTGCCCTAAATTCTATGCTTAATGGATCCGTGTTAAGCTGCAGTAATGGTCATAAAATCATTTCAAATGTCTTAAAAATTTTATTACTGAATTTCAGTACATATATATATATAAAATAAAGCTTAGTTAAGTTAATAAGGTTGAGAGGAACTAAGCAGAAACCTAGGAAAATAATTTTAATAATATTGTGCAAGTATAATTAAGTACTTAAAATTTACTGAAAAATTTGTAATTTACAAAATTTTAAATAGATTGGTCTTTATTTAATAAAAAATAAAATAACATTTTTGTACATAAAATTACAACCAGCACATTATTTATGGGAGGTCATGAAAAGTCTGTATCATCTTCAGATTAGAATGGATTATTTAATAGCACCAAAGTAAATTACACTAACTGCTTGCATGGGATTCAAGTTATCCTAGGAATAGAGATGAAATTATGGAATGAACATTAAGCAATAGATGGAATAAGGAATGATGATGAGCTGTATCTGTAGCACATTTTCATAAGCTTAAAATGAAGCTGTGTGAGATGTGCTAATGAAATGACAGATATCTCTATTAATTATTACAGATATTCCCTCATTTACAGTTTTTCAGTGTTGTTGGCTTAAATAAAATGCTATAAATAAAATGCTAAATTGTTATACATACCTACATATCCTGGGGTCCCACAAGCAGTTGCCATTATTCCTGAATCTTCCATTTTGGAGAGACCGAAATCACTAATCATGATCTTGGAGTCTTCATCTGGACTATAGTATAATAAGTTTTCTGGCTATTAAACAGAAAAGAAAAGAGAGTAATAATTATTAAAGACAATAATATACAGGCTACGACTTGACACACAATACACATATTTATAAAAAAATGTAATGAATTTTCAAAGGAATGGTTTTGTAATTATTTTTCATGCAATTCTTTCTTTTTTCCCTTTCTTTTCTTTATACATATGCACACACATATATATTAGAATAACAAGATTTCATAACTGGGAATAATTTTTTCATCATTGTAAGCCTGATTCAAATGGAATTTACAACTTATATCTTGATATTACTGTGAAATAATTGATTAATTAATCAGTGGTTGAATTAATACTATGAGATATTACAACAATATTTATAATCCACATTACCTTCAAATCTCTATGAACAACACCTTGAGAATGCATATAATCTACAGCTTCTAAAATTTGCCGAATTAGATGACTAGCATCTTTTTCAGTGTAACTTCCTTTCTCAACAATTCTATCAAATAATTCACCCCCTGTTACCCTGAAATAAAGAGAAAATGACATAAGATAATGTAAGTTCTGCAATGTTGTTAAATCCTTTTTAGAATAAATGTTTCTTTTTAAACATCTGTCAAAAATAAATAATACATTCTCTCTAAAAAGAAAGGTGGTGGTTGTGATGGTGGATTTATTGGCACATAACCTGAAAGGTTTTATGTGCCAAACACATGTTAAATATGTTAAAACAACAACTTCATATTTTAAACACAAGTTTAAAAAACGGCCGACTTAAAAATCAAGTTAATGAGTATAATTACGCCAAGGTGAACAATATATAAAAACTCAGATTTTTATAAATAACAGAGATAAAATCAAACGATCAAGAAGCAAGTCACACTCATTAAAATACCTCAAAAGTCTGTTAAAATAAGAACATTCTACTAAAAAGATACTAGAAGGTAACTAACTATGAGTGATTCGAGACAGGCCAATTCTTAAATGAGTTAACAAAATCTCCCCCTTTCAATTCCTATTTGCATCCTAATGCTTTATTATCAGTTTTATATTACTTAATTTATTATTCCATTGAATAATATCAACTGAATAATAAATTACGAATCCTAGAGTGCTTGACATTTACCAAAAATCTTAACGTCAATTATCATGCTGGTATCATTAAAAGAAACTAAAACACTGGATAGACCCGCAGCAGACTCTCCTTTGATATTTGCTGGTTTGTTGCTCTTCATCCCAATATGTCTGGGAACTCAACAATAAAGAATTTTGTCGCCACGAGTCTTTAAATTGAGATTAGAAATTAAAGAAGGTACACAATAAATAGGAGCGAATTCTGAAATGAGTACAAATCTTGGTGAAATGTTTGTACAGGATCTCGCCAGTACTTCTCTTATCAAAATAGTGAAAAACATCCAGAAGTTGAATTTGCACATACTCTCAAGGCAGAATTTAGCTGCTTCACTGAGTATTTATACCAAACATGCAGTATGTTTCAGTTAACAACTGAACTCTTCCGAGGAATGGAAGCACACAAAGACTCGACAAACAAAATGTTATAACAGTTACCAAGCACTGGGAGACAACTAGGCTCTGAAAATATATTGAAATAATAAGAGAGACATCTGCTTACATCTGAACTGAAGCAATGATTCAGAGCAGTACACATATAGATCCTGTAAAAGAGATGCCCTGAAAGATTTAAAACAAATCCACAGAGCCTGATGATAGAACAGATGAACAAGATCTATTTTCTGTAAAACAAAAGGCCTTCCTGATCCATAAACAAGTGAGTCATAATCTAATCTACAGTGAAATAGTGCTCTGTGAATATGGAGCCGTGAGCTACTTTCTGCAAGCCAGGAAGTTGTAACCAAGACTTTAAAGATGTTTACTGTTTTAAAATACTTCTTTATCAAGTAATGGACAAGTAGAAGAAAAGTTAGCTTTCTGTCAAACATTATTCCTAGAAAATTCAGTTTCAGATAGAACGAGAAATAATAGATCTTATAGATGAAGTTCAGGCTCAGAATGAAGGTTACGCTTTCTACAAAAGTGAATGAAAATGTCTTCTTCTTTTCCATCTGACCATCCCTGATGCCTATTAAGAGTAATTTGTAATTGTCTTTCTATATAAATCTCATGTCTGCACCTTGATAACTAATCTGGAGGTCATCAGCATAAACTGACACTAAAATGGCTGGAGAGAGTTCTCTTGGAACAGAATTTACTTTTTAACTGAAAAGTGAAACACCAATAACACTACCCTGAGGCACATCTCAATTCTTGAAAAATCTATCTGACACCACAATCCTTATCTGGAAAGCCCCAGCCTTCAAAAAATTTATGAAAATAGGCAGGTTACCATGAAAAATAGTGGCATGGATCATGAAAAATATCATATCTCCATGCTTTATCATACATCTTTTCTATGTCAAAATACAAATAAACTACATGGTTTCTTTTCATAAAGGCTTTGTTAATGGAAAGTTTCCAAATGAAGCATGTTATCAATGATCATTCTTCCTTTGCAGAAGCTGCTCTGATAAAGTGAGATTATGTTTTTCTCCCCTCCTAGGCAATAAATAAACTAGGTGGCAATTTACCATTTTTCAAAAAGCTTACAGATACAGCTTGTAAATGCAATGAGCTGATAATTTGGGGACTTTTCGGCTCTTTCCCAGGCTTAGCTATGCGAATGACTACGGGTTTCTTCCATGCATTGGATAAAATATGCTCTTTCCACACTCGGTTATAAACAGCAGTTAATGACTTAAATGAAAGATGCTTAAGCATTTCATAACTAATGCCATCTGAAACTGGGGCATACTTATGTGTCTGCAACAAAGTTCTCTTTCGCTCCCACGTGAAAAACTCATCATTATATGGCTCCAGTATGGCTGAATCAAATGTAATGGGAATATTCTTTGAGCAATGCTTTTCAAAAAGAAATGCTGGTTGGTAATTCGTGCTGGAAGAAACAGCAGCAAATGCCTCATCAAGAGTGTTTGCAATTTCTTCTGTGGTTGCTAATCTTTCGGCTATCTTCTTCCAGAAAAGAAAGTGAGCGGTCTTTATAAAATCTGCATATTTTTTAACTTTATTATTTAAGAGGGCTACAATGCTCTTCCCAAACTCTTTTACTTGTTGTAGAGCAGAGGTGGGCATTAAGTCAATTGCAATCGAGTGGTAGACCATCAAGACATTTTGGGGGTAACTGCCTTTACTAAGACCTAAGTTGTGCATACTAAAAAAATACAAAGTTATGGAACACCGACGCCAGCTAGGCTGGAGAACCAGCTTTTCACAATTAATGCAACTGTGCTTGCCTAAGCAAATGATTTGTTTACTGTGTAGAAAACACATGTAGCTTCACAGGAAGCACACGATGAAGCTCAAGTCCATACATCAATTACAGAGTCATCGGTTCACATATGTTCATTGCACTGAATATGTGCATGCTCCACAGTCTAGCAGTCGCTAAAGTTCTTTAAGCATACAACTTGACAATTCTGTGTTGTATTTTTGTAGAAAAAATAGCAATCTGTCATATTTAAAAAAAGGCTACAATGTCAAAAACAAGTGTTAGAAGAAAAAACATACAGTTTTAACACAGAATGGGAAGAACAGTTTTTCTTTACAATGGTGAATGCAAAATGTGTGTACTATGTATGTCATGCAAGTGTGGCACTTCCAAAAATAGGAAATGTTAAAAGGCATTTCAAAAGCATGCATGGAAGTTTCGATACAGATTTTATGTTGAAAAGCAAACTGTGTAAACAAAAGTTAAAAGAATTTAAATTGCAATTAATCGGATAACAATCTTACTTTATTAAACCCAATACTATGCCTAAGGCTGCAACAGCTGCATCTTTTCATGCGAGTCATGTGTTAGCAAAACATAAGACCCCTATTGCAGATTGAGAAATAACAAAAAAAGCATTTCTGGAAGCCAACAATTCATTATTTAATTCATTCAAGAACAAAAATGAAATTATTTCCACAATTTAAAACGCACAACTTTTGCATAGAATTGTCGTATGGACTTGAACAGAAATGGATGAATTCTGATCTGGCTGAACAGCTGACCGATGATATTGCTAACTGCAGATGCTTTTTCTTGCAGTTTGACGAATCTATGGACATGGATGGTATTTCTCAACTTTGCTTTTTCATAAGATCGCTTTCAAGGCTATGAATGTAAAAGAAGCATTATTAACAATATTACCTTTAAAGAAGAAAACAGGAAGTGAAGATGTTTACTGCACCTTAAAAAAAAAAATGCCAAAACATAAGATCCCTATTGCAGATTGAGAAATAACAAAAAAAAAAAAAAAGCATTCCTGGAAGCCAACAATTCATTATTTAATTCATTCAAGAACAAAAATGAAATTATTTCCACACTTTAAAACACACAACTTTTGCATAGAATTTCACCCGAAGAGAAATGATGAATTCTGATCTGGTTGAACAGCTGACCGACAATATTACTAATTGCAGATGCTTTTTCTTGCAGTTTGACAAATCTATGGACATGGATGGTATTTCTCAATTTTGTTTTTTTATAAGAATGGCTTTCAAGGATATGAATGTAAAAGAAGAATTAGTAACAATATTACCTCTAAAGAAGAAAACACAAAGTGAAGATGTTTACTGCACTTTCAAAAAATACACAGAGGAAGTAACAATTCCAATTATAAAGTTGATGAAGCTCCATCAATGACTGGTACAGTCAATATATTTTTGGCTATGTGTATGAGAGATGATGACATACTGCATTTCCTTTCTTATCATTGCATTATTCACCTACGGGCCCTCTGGTATAAAATTCTAAATATGCATCATGTTATGGGAATCTGCATGAAAACAGTGAACTCAGTTTAAGGTAGAAGTCTTCAGAGAAGAAGGTTTCGGGCCAATTAGAAGAAAACGAAGTTGATTATGCGGAATTGTTATATCATGCGGATGTTCGCTGGTTAGCATACTTTTACAAAGATTTAGGGACCTACTACAAGAGGTAAAATATATTTTGGAAACAAATGATAAAGGATATATTGAACTTAGTGATGATGTTTGGTTGATGGATTTAGCTTTGGTTGTTGATATAACAAGCCATCTTAATGAATTGAACTTACAGTTGCAAGGAAAAAATAAAAAAATAGTAGAATTGATTGGATTTGCTAATATTTTCAAAAACAAATTAAAGCTTATATCTTCCCAGTTGATAAGGAATGAACTAAAAAAATTCCAAAAATATTTCTGACGAGCTTTTTAAAATGAGGTACATTAAATAAAGAGAAATATTATGATGCAATAATAAAACTTCACTCGAATCTGAGAGACGTTTTTCAAGGATTTAAACTAAAACCAATTGCTACTTCATGCGTTACTCATTTGGCAATGTTGAGGTGGAAGAAATAACTGAAAATATAGATTATTCCCTTTATCTCTTGAGGAAAACAAAGTTTTTCTCCTTCAAAACGACATAATTTTAAAAGCACACAGTTCAGAACCTAAGAATGACTT